AGGGTGATAGGATGAGCTATGCTTTAACTCCGTACCAATCTTAGCCCATAAAGTATGCCAAAAATGACTGAGAAACTTAGTGTCGTGATCAGAAACAATGCTTCTTGGAATGCAGTGTAACTTAACAATATTGTTAAAGAACAAAACAACCATATGAGTTGCATCACTTGTCTTGTTACATGGGATAAAGTGTGTCATCTTAGGGAATCTATCAACAACAACAAAGATAGCATCCTTACCTCCTTGAGTCTTGTCACGCCCCTTTTTTCCCTCTTTGCATCGGAAAATTGGGTTTATGATATTTTGGTATAGGACAACTCATTCCTTTTGGGAACTGGGTTTTGCATTTGAAGAGTCGCCACCTAATGATTTGGGGTGCATTAGGACACCCATAAGGTTCACTTCTAAGTTTGTTTGATAACCAGAGATAGGGTAAGGGCTTGAAATTATCATAAGGGGAAGGTGTTAGGCACCTCTCAAGATCCACTAGTGTGGTTCCCGGCCAGATAGTTTTTTGTGAATTTGAGCAATTTAGCAAATAGACGAGTATTGGCTCAAATAGTAGGGGATTTCAGTTTAAACACATAAGAGTTTGAAAGAACAATTATTAAAAGACGAATTTTGAAAAGAAGTTGCAAATAAAAAGGAAAGAGGTCCTAGGTTTATTTATAATATGGATCACATCAATGCGATACCCGGTAAAACACTCCTCAGAAGAGGGGATACATGTGGTATTAGTGCACCGATCATCATATCCATATCTACCCTTCCCACCCCGTTAAGGTATTAAAGCGCGGATTGGTCTCGACCACTATTGAATGCTATTATCCGTCTCATCCTATCAGTCCCGGAGGAACTTAGGACTACTATTCCTAAAGGGGAGGGATATTAGGCTAACTTTTAGGTTTCAAAAGGTGAAAAAAGCTAAGGAGACATACAAAAACATATAGGACTGCACATTAGGGGGAAACATGTAAACAACTAAGAGGCTCATGTATACCTTCTCAAGCAAAGCACATAAATAGCATGACTTAAACACAATCAGGGTCTGAATTTAAAGTACTAAGGCAAAGGGAGTTTTAATTGTTGAGGCAAACCAATTTACTACATAACTCAGATAAGAAGTCCGAATCAGGCCTGCCTACTGGTTGTAGCAGTTACTAATTAACAAAGGTGGATTCAACTTTTCTTGTTGTCATCTAAGGCTTGCCTAAGTGTGTTTGGTGAGATCCTATAAACATTGATGCCTATTACTAATTAGGAGTGTAGCAAAACAGTGACAATTTTAAAAAGAGAGATTTGAGATCCTATAGGCATGCTTTCTAAACCGTATTAATAAAAGGAGAGTAGGTTGTTTAAAACTAGCTCAGAACAGTACGAGTTAAACTGATTTTAAATTATACTGGTTTCATATCCTATAAGCATGATATCTATTATTGCTAATTTGTAATTCCTATAAACATAATATCTAGTTGAACGTGAAATGAAATAGGCAAGAATTACTTGAAATTCCTATTGGCATGATTTCTATGAAAAAATACTAATTTTAACCTTATGGACATGATGTCTGATTATAGCCGTTTAGATCCTAAAACATGGTGTCTAAGTGTGGTAATAAGACATGCAGAATTTAAAACAGGTCCTATAGGCATGTTTTCTACCCTTCTAATAGCTAAACATGCATAATTACCTATCCCCTTTTCACTAGCCAACCCCTATGTTTATTACAAATTATTACAGACAAAATAATGGATTACATCAGAAAAGTGTAAAAGAAGAAGTTACAACCAGAGGAAGCCTGATTCTTTACTTCCTCTTTGAGTTATGGAATAAACCACCTCAAGCACCACGTGTTTCAAAACCTTTCTCAGACGTAGGTGTGTCAAAGTTCCCTAAGGGTCTCAAGGGACCCGGGCAGCGCTTACACCCAGGTTTATATAACCAGATAGAGATGAGTGCAGTGTGGAAGGGCCAACCCTTATGTGTCCAAGTTCAAAGAGAGCTCATGGGTCCCAAGGAAAAGCTCACACAAGAGGGGCATAACCTAAGTTCTAAGAGTATAGTGGAAGTGCAGAAACAAAGATTTATTTAAAACTGGGTTGAGAATAGTAAGGGGTAAGAGTGATTTGAAAACAGTAGTAGTAAAGCAAAATCAACAGTTGCACAAAGGGGTCAGGGGTTTGGGAATACATTGCATGGAGCATATGACCCTAAGAGGAGTCAGGCTTGGACATGCACAGCAATAGATGATGCTGACATGCCCATAAACCAGCCAGAGAAGACAAACACATAAGGGGATATGGGGTTTGGGATTCATAACTCAATAAATCACATAATCAAGTGACTGACAAAGTACATACATAAGGGATCACATTAATTTAGAAGGGAAGGGAGCAGATTACAACATGCTTAGTAATGAAACTTGATTGTATAAGTATAAGTAGAAACAGGCAAGAGTGAAGGAAACAACTAAAGAAACATGTTGTTTTTGATGCTCGAAGATTAATTAGGACATAACAGTAAGAAGAAAATGCAGAAAGGAAAAGTAAGCAAATTTTCACAACCTAGCCTTGGCTTTCAGCCGGCTAGACAAAGTAGTAAGCACAAGTAGTAACAGAGAAAAGAGAGAGAGTTTTGAGTGAAGTGTGTGTTCTGAACTCAGATGGTTCGTGTGTTTGAAAGAAAAAGGATGCAATGTATTTATAGCTTCTGAAAATGAGTGAAAAGTAAGGTAATAAGTAAAGTTTTAAAACAAATATGGAAACAATCAATAGTCAGAATCAATTATACAACTGATTCACTTTAATTAAGGAATCACTGTTTAACGGGTAGTAACAGGTTCAAATAAGGAGAGAAATTAGTTTGGGAGTAGATTGATTATTTCCATAAAAGGGGTAGTAAAAGCATGCAGTGAACAATCAAGTCTGAGTACGAAAATATGCTTATTTTTGGAAAGGATTCAGCAAGGTAAATATTACAGTAAAGGGAAAAGAATCAATCAATTTTAAACAGGCGAGTGAAATTAGGGTTCATAAAAGAAAAAGCTTTGGAATCAGTCACAATATTAAGATCAATAAAGGAAGAAACATGCTTCTGCACTTCAGTATATAAACAGAGTGAACAGAGACATCAGACATGCGAGGCCAAGTCCATTGGAAAAAGAAGCAACATACAATAGTAGCAAAAATAAGCATAAGGTTCAGTAGATAGTCAGGGCTCACACATATAGCCAAAGTGAAGAAGAGAGTCAAACAAGTAAAGGCCTCACAGTAACAGGTGAGAAAACCTTTTGAAAAGTTAGGGTTTCAAGTCGAGTTTAAAAGATAGTAAAACTCGAAATCAGATAAGTCACATAAAGAAGAGGGAGTCAGAAACAAAGAATTTAATCGAATCAAGTGCATGTTCAAACAAACAGTTTCAGACCAAGAAGACTTAGGGTTTGCAACAATAATCGAGTTTAAAAGATGATAAACAAATAAGTCAAACAAGAACATAACCAAACAAGTACTCATCTAACAAACAACTTCAGAACTCGAATGAGACCCAAAATAAATATGGTTTTAAACATGCTAACTCAGATAAAAGAACAACATGAGCAAAACATAACAAAATCACAAACACGTTAAAATCAAAGAAGGGATTTTTGAAATAACTTAAAGGAAAACCCTAATCGAAAAATGAAGAGTCGTTTTGAAAGCAAAGTTAAAGAACCTTCGAGAAACACTTAAGAAAGTCATAGTAAGTACCGATCTAAGGCAGATCTAAGAGAAAGTTTAAGGATCTTAAAGATCAGGGTTTCGAAAAACCCAGAAAAGGTGAGAAAGGCCCTGAAAGTTATCGATCTAACTAAGAGAGTCAAGGATCTGACTTGAACGGCCATGGCTGGCTGGAGAAAGGTCAAGGATGACCGCGAACTGAAATCGAACAAGGACTGGACCAGATTCTTTCAAGGTCTAGCCATGAAACCACAGGAACAAACATGCAGGAGCCATATGAGGCCACTACACGTCTCCAATGGCACTGGGAGGCCATGGATTAGGCAAGGTTTAGGGTGGATTAGGGTGTAGTTTGATAGCGGAGGCTAGGGTTCGTAAGAGTTTCAGAGAGAGTTGAGAGAGAAGAGAGATTCAAAGGCGGCGGTAGGTGAATAATGAAGTAGGGAAAGGGGTCGTTTTGAGTTAAAAAAGGAAAGAGAAGTCGGTGGTCGTTTATCTAAATGATCAACGACTGGGATTAAAGGGGTTAGATGGGGATCCAGGTTAGGTCGTGTAAATTGGGTTGGGAGTTGGGTTTGAGTGGGAATTGGGCAGAAAGAATTGGGTCATTAGGCTATAATTGAAATAAAATTGGGTTATCATTTGAATAGCCATTTTTCCCCTTTTAAAATTATAAAAATAGTAAATTAATTTCTGAAAATAAATTAAAAGTACTAAAATGATTTATGACATATAATTATCAATTTAAAAATACTGAACTTAATTTTTATGAATACAAATGCAATTAAATCCTAAAAGAGGCTAATATTGAAATTATACAATTTAGCTTTAAAATATACTAAATAAATTTGTAAAAATATGCAAAAATTCCCTTAAATATATTTTAGCATAAATATAAAAGTCCAACACGTGAATCACTACAATGATAGTTTTTGGAAATAATTATTAGGTTTTTATGGATAAAATAGAGAAATATATTGGTTTAAAAAATCTTTAAAAATTAAGAAAAAATAACAAAACACTTGGACATACTTATATATGCATAAGTATGCTATTTTGAAGGTATTTTGCATATTAAAAAATATATAGGAAAAATTGGGTATCAACAAGTCCCAGGCAATCCAAGCACAAAATTTATGCTAATATGTTCCCACGGTGTTGTAGGAATTGACAAAGGCTCATATAATCCCTTATTGCTCCCATGTTTTTTTCTTTTCTACATGTTTCACAATGCTCAATCAGCCTTAACATATCTTCTTTCAATTTAGGCTAGTAGAAGTTTCCTTAAATCATCTTCAATGTTTTAGAATGGCCAAAATGACCAGATAATCCACCCTCATATGCTTCCGTCACAATGGACTCCCTTAAAGAGCTTTGTGGTAAGCAAAGTTTCTTTCCATAATAAAGAAACCCATCTCGAATTACAAACTTTCTTTGTGGACCCTCCAAGCATATCTTCCAAACATCTCCAAAGTCTAGATCAGCCTCATAAAGCTCCTTGATATAATCGAATCCGAATACATTAGTTTGCATCATAGAAAGTAAGCATGGTCTTATACTAAGAGCATCAACTACTTGATTGAGGTTTCCAGTTTTGTGCTTGATTACGAACTGAAAATTTTGAAGGAACTCTACCCATTTTGCATGCCTTGCATTGAGCTTTTGTTGGTGACTAAGATACTTTAGTGCCTCATGATTAGAATATAGCAAAAAATCTCTTGGTAATAAATAATGACTCCAATGTTGCAACACACGAACAATAGCATAGAACTCTTTTTCATAAGTGGAGTACTTCAATTTAGATCCACTTTGCTTCTCACTAAAATAAGCCACGAGTTTACCTTCCTGGCTAAGAACTCCTCCAGCACCAACACCTGAAGCATCACATTATACTTCAAATAAAAAATAAAAGTTAGGCAATTGAAGGATAGAAGCTTTTGTCATCTTCTTCTTTATCAATTAAAAACTCTTTTGAGCTTCTTCATTCCACTTGAAAATGCCTCCTTTCAAACACTCAGTTATAGGGGCAACCAAGGTGCTGAACTTTTTGTTAAATCATCGATAAGAGGACACCATTGCGTGAAAGTTCCTTGTATCCGAAATTGACCTCGGAATTGGCCAACTTATGATTGCCTCAATCTTCTTTGGGTCAGCTTGAATACCAGCACTAGTTACTATGTAACCATTAAAGCAAATATTGTTAGTATAAAAGATGCACTTCTTGAGTTGTGCATATATCTTCTCTCTCCAAGATTTCAGAAACCTTTTCTAAACGCTTTCCATGTTCAAATTCCACTTTGCTATAAATTAGGATATCGTCAAAGTAGACTGTTACAAACTTCCCAATGAATGGTGTAAACACATGAGTAATAAGCCTCATGAATGTGCTAGGAGCATTCGACAAACCAAAAGGCATTACCAACCATTCATACAAGCCCTGGCTAGTCTTGAAGGAAATCTTCCATTCATCACCTCCTCTCATATGAATCTGGTTGTACTCACTCTTCAAATAAATCTTTGAAAAGATCTTAGAACCATGTAACTGGTCAAATAGATTATCTAATCTTGGGATTGGGAAGCAATATTTGATAGTAATCCTGTTGATTGCTCAACTATCAACACACATCCTCCACGTTCCATTTTTCTTAGGAAAAAGCCAAGCAGGTACGACACAGGGACTAAGGCTCTCCCTTATTAAACCCTTCTCCAGTAGCTCTTCGACTTACCTTTGGAGTTTCATCTTGTTGTATGGGATTGTACTACAAGCTACTTTGTTTGGCAATAATTCTTGGTGTATAAGGTCAATTTGATATTGAATATCGTGCATGGGTGGAAGTTCTAACGGAGCATCTTCAGAGATCACATCATCAAACTTAGCAACTAACTTCTTAGCTCGTGTATCTAACTCATGCTCCTCATCTTGTGAGTCTTCCACGGCTACTGCTATGTACAATGGCTCTCTTTTATTGATGTGCCTAATAATCTGTGATTTGGTCATTAGCGTATCAGATACGGTCTTTGCTTTCTTTGAATATTATTTTAGGTACAATGACGTCAAAACGATCTTACATCCATCAATTATGAATGAATAGATGTTACGGTATCCATCATGAAAAGAAAACTTACGATATTGCCATGGTCATCCAAGTAATAAATGGCAAGCATCCATTTTTACATCACACCAAATTTGGTCTTTATAGATTTTACCAATAGAAAAAGAGACTAAGCATCTTTAGTGACTTTCATACCTCCACCATATTGTAGCCACCCGACTTTGTAAGGTTTGATGTGTACCTCCGTCTCCAAACTCAATTTAGTCACCATTTCTTCTGAACAAGCATTAGTGAAACTTCCACCATCAATAATCATTGAACATACCCTACAGTGTGATGTACACCTCGTGTGGAACAAGGCCTCTCGTTGTGATGATTCTTCATCTTCATGTTCAGCATGTAAGATCGTCTAAATAACAAGTATATGACCTTCATCAGGTTCTATATAGGCATCCTCATTAACTTCCTCAATTAGTTGGTTGTCTTCATGATAGGAATCATCTTCTTCATCAAACAACATAACAACCTTTCTGTTGGGACGATCAGCTTGCAAATGCCCAAAACCATGGCACTTAAAACATCTTCTCCTAGACATTTCCTCCTGAGCTTTCTTTTCATCACCCTATAAATATGAATTAGACAAATTACCTCTATAAATTGCCTTGAAATTTTCCACCACTACCACTAATACTCCCCTAGTTGGAGTAATTCTTCTTGGAGTATAATTTCTTTGGCTCCTTTTGTTGTTGTTCGATGTTGATGGCAAGCTTTCGTACATCACTAAATGTCTAATAAGGTTGTAGGCGAATAACATCAGAGATGGCATACCTTAAGCCACCAATATATCTTGTTATAGTCTGTTCCTCAGTTTCTCGGGTATCACCCTTAATCATGAGGTATTCAAACTCTCAAGTATAGTCTTCCATAGTCTGGTCTCCTTATCAAAAGTTATGAAATTTAATATAATTCTCTTGTTTGTACGTATCAGGAAGAACACATCTTCGAAGTTCTCTCTTTATCTTCTCCCAAGTTCGAAACTTACCATGACCTTCTCTTTCTCTTTCTCGCTTCAAATTGTCCCACAAAAGTGAAGCATATCCCTTAAACTTGATGACAATGATCTTAAACTTTTTCTACTCAGAAAAATCCTTGAACTCAAAGATTCGTTCTAGGGTCAATAACCCCTCCATAAACACATCCCCTTGTGCTTTTACATCAAAATCAAGAACATCAACCTTCACATCATCCCTTTTTCCCGATTATGGTTCCTTCTTCTCCTTGAGCGATCAAAGTCATCGTCTCGTTGTCTCCTAAGAGGATCCAAATTTTCACTAGAGTCATCTCCATCAGCCATATAAAAAGGGTTACTATCAAAGTCCCCGTAACGACCCGGCCGGTCATTTTAAGAATTTACGCCCCGATCCCCTATTAACTATTTTTCCCATATTTTTTTCTACTATTGTGAATTGCCGGGAGGGTTTATTTAGAGATTCGGAGAGTTTTGGGACACTTAGTCCCTAAATGAAAGTTTAGGTTGTGGAATTTGGGCTGTAGTCGGAACAGTTTGAAGACATCCTCAGAATAGAATTCCGATGGTTCCGTTAGCTCCTTTGGGTAATTTCGGGTTTAGGGACATGTTTGGATTGTGATTTGGAGGCCTGTAGCTAATTTAGTTTTGAAATGCCGAAATTTGAATTTTTGAAGTTTCCAGTTCGATAGTGAGATTTTGATCTGAGGGTCGGAATGGAATTCTGGAAGTTGGAGTATCTCCATAGTGTTGAATGTAACGTGTGTGCAAAATTTTAGGTCTTTCGGATGAGTTTTGATAGACTTTTTGATCGAAAGCGTAATTTGAGAGTTTTTGAAGTTCTTAGGCTTGAATCTGATGCTAAACTGGTGTTTTGATGTTGTTTTGAGCGTTCCGAAAGTTGGAACAAGTTGGAATGATATTTTAGGATATGTTGGCATGTTTGTTTGAGGTCCCGAGGTCCTCGGTTAAGTTTTGGGTGGTTAAGCAGACCAAATTCTTGTTTTGAAAGTTGCAGATTTTTGAAGGTCTGCGTTGCAGAGATTTTGCGTTCGCGAGAGGACACTAGCGTTCGCGAAGGGATATGGCGTGAGGCAGGAGAAATTGCCCTTCGAATTTACGACATTGGTCCTGCGTTCGCGAAGGGCATGCCATAGTGTGCATCGCAAACGCGAGTCAGGTACCACGTTCACGTAGAGTATTTTGGGGCAGCTAGGATCCCAGGAGCTTCATGCTTCGCGTTCGCGTAGGTGGAGTCGCGTTCGTGAAGGCTTGGAGAGTTTGAGCATCGCATTCGCAAGGAGGTGTTCACGTTGGCAAAAAAAAGAGTTGAATTGGTTAGTGTTTTTGTTGTTCGCGAATGCGAGGTAGTGGCCGCGTTCGCAAAGAAGGAAATGTCTAGGCAGTATTTAAATAGCCAATCCGCGACCCTTCTTCATTTTCCACCATTTTTGAACGGGATTGAAGCTTTTGAGGGAGATTTTTGACGAAACCAAAGGGGAATCACTTGGAGATAATAATCTTGACTTCATAGCTCTTTTATATGTGATTAAAGGTCTAATTAGTGGTGAAAATTAGGGAAAAATCAGTGCAAAATGGGTAATTAGGGCTTGAGATTAAGAGACCTTAAAATGGATATTTGAGGGGCCAATTGAACTCTGATTTTCGTGTTCTTGATATGTATAGACTCGTGAGAGTATAATGATTCTGAAATGTAAATTTTACCCGATTCCGAGACGTGGCCCGAGGGGCATTTTGGTAATTTCACCTAATTTCGCGTATTAGCGTAGAATTTGTTTGTAGAGTCAGTTACTTGAAGTGTTATTTACATTATGCAATTGAATTGAATAGATTTGGGCCATTTGGAGTCGAGTGCTCGTGGAAAGAACGTGATTTCGGGTTGATTTTGAGCCGGTTCGAGGTAAGTGGCTTGCCTAACCTTTTGTGGGGGACATTCTCCTTAGGATTGGTATTGTGATAAATGAAATACCTTGTACGTAAGGTGAGGAGTGCATACTTGTGCTAATTATTGAAAATCTTGTTTTCACTAAAGTATCTTTAATTGTATTTTTCCTTTCATACTTATACTACTTGGAATTTAAACCTGCTGTTAGCTTAGAAAAGCATGTCTAATTGACTTAACTGCTTTATTTGCTTAAACTGTCTTATTTGTATTATGTGAAGCATGCTAGGTTAGAATTACCTATTTTACCTTGGTATGAAGTTGAGTTTAATTAAGTATTCTTGTGTTATTTCTATGTGTTTTACATTAGGACTACGGGACGGCATCCCGGGAGATCCCCTGTATGTATTTTTGATTTTAACGAAAGTGCACGATATCGAGAGATCCCCAACACATATATTGAGGATACCAAGAGATCCCTGGCATATATTGAGGATGCTAAGAGATCCCTAGCATATATTGAGCATACAAGGAGATCCTCGGGATACCAAGAGATCCCTGGCATATATTAAGGATACTAAGAGATCCTCGGGATACTGAGATATCCCCAGTTATTATCCTTGTAAAGAGTGGTATTCCTTGTGATTATTTTTATCTCTGTTTCAGTTGTTGCTATCCTTATTACCCTGTATTAATTCTTACTGTTAGCTTTCAACTGTACTGTTTTATCTTATTTTGTTATATCTTATGTTTCATTTGATCTCAATAGGGCCCTGAACTTCCTCATCCTTACCCGACCGAGGTTAGGCTTGGCACTTACTGAGTACCGGTGTGGTATACTCATGCCCTTTCTGCATATGTTTTTCATGTGCAGATCCAGGTACCTCCACTCAGACTTATCACGGTTGAGACGAGGTGCTTGTAGAGACTCCGAGGTATATCTGCCGCATCCGCAGACCGAAGAGTCCCTTTCTACTCTCCCTTTTTGTATTAGCCCTTCTGTACTTTCGTTTATTGTTAGATATTCTGTAGTTAGATGCTTGTAGACATTTAAAGGCTTGTGATCATGAGATTTCGGGTTTTGGGAAAAGATATTAGTTTCGCGAGTTCTTATTATGTATGCCGAGCGGCATTTTAAACACTATTTTATTTCGCTATTTTGGTTTTTAATTATTTCTTCTACAAATTTTGTTTATTTTCCGCATTGTTAAGTTTACCTAGTCGTAGAGACTAGGTGCCGTTACGATGGTTCACGGAGGGCGAACCAGGGTCATGACAAGTTGGTATTAGAGCTCTAGGTTCATAGGAGTCATGAATCACAAGCCGATTTATTAGAGTCTCGCTAATCGGTACGGAGATGTCTGTACTTATCTACGAGAGGCTATGTAACTGTTAGGAAAATTCCACTTCATTTGATTTCCTTGTTGTGCGAGATTTTAATATCACAATTCTAAAATTTTGTCTCTTATTCTCTCGCAGATGGTGAGGACACGTGCTACCCGACATGATCAGACACCTGTACCCCCTACTATAGCCATCAGAGGCCGGGGCTGGGGTAGAGGCCGAGGACGCGCACGAGGTACAACCAGAGCATCCACGGAGCTACCACCAAGGTACCACCAGCAGTTCCAGCCGGATTCCAGGCACCTGATACGCCTACTACTACTATTACTCCATCTCTTCAGGAGACTCTGGCGCACTTCATGAGCATGTACACCACTCTAGCTCAGGCAGGGTTGCTTCCCCTAGCTGCAGCCACATCTCAGGCCGGGGGAGGAGCACAGACTCCCGCCGCCCACACTCCTGAGCAGCGAGTGCATGTTTATCAAGTCCTAGAGATTATTCCTGTACAACATGTAGTCCCAGGTCAGCCCGAGGATAGGGCAGCGGCTTTAGAGGATGAGCATCGGAGACTTGGGAGGTTCAAGAAGTATGATCCTCCTGTATTCAGTAGGTTAGCATCAGATGATGCCTTGGGATTTCTGAAGGAGTGTCACCGTATCCTCCGCACTATAGGTATATCAGGATCGAGTGGGGTTTTTTTCACTGCCTTCCATCTTTGAGGAGCCGCCTATGAGTGGTGGTATACCTATGAGTTTGACAGACAGGATGAGGCAGCTTTACTGACTTGGACTCGATTTTTGGATATGTTCCTGAGGGAGTTTGTTCCTCAGAGCCTCAAGGACACATGGCGCGCAGAGTTTGAGAATTTGCACCAGGGTACTATGACTTTCTCAGAGTATGTTGTCCTTTACACTAGCTTGGCTAGACATGCCCCAGCCTTGGTTTCTAGTGTTTGCGAGAGGGTTCACCGGTTTATTAAGGCGCTTATTCCCAACATCAGGTCTAGCATGGCTCGTGAGTTGGAGATGGATATTTCTTATCAGTAGGTGGTGAGCATTGCTAGGAGGATTGAGGGTATCCATGCTAGGGAGAGAGAGGAGGGGGAGGCCAAGAGGTCTCGAGAGTCGAGCCATTATTCTGGTGCCCGTGTCCCAGCTGCAGGTTGTCATGGTAAGGGTTATATGAGTCGCCCCGTTTATTTAGCTCTTCCAGCAACTAGTGGTATTCCATCTCCTCCTAGGCCTTAGGAGCCTTATTATGCACCTCCAGTATCTAGTGCACCTCTTGCGCGGGGTGCTTTCAGAGGTCAGTCCAGTAGACC